ACAAAGTTTTTGTTACTCTGGCTTGTTTTGTGTTTTCGCGTTTTGGCTGCACTAAAAGTCCTATCAAACCTCAATCTCGTACCCAGCGTCACTGTCCCTCTTACTCGCAGGCTCACAGGCTCACAGGCTCGACGAAAAACAGTGACTCTGGAAATTTCGCAAATTTCTCGCTCTCTGATTGGCTCATAAAATAAACAGCTTGCCGCCGGAAGTGAAAATATCACGGAGAAAAACACTCAAATCATTCTGTATTTCGCTACCTCACCTTGAATTCTTCCTTTAAAAGCATTTATTAAGTCTATGAAGTAGGAATTTGAGAGTAATATGAAGGTAAGTTGATTAAACGGCCGTTTAAAAATGATAGATGCGCGGGAGTGCCAACCACTATGAAACACCTTAAACAAGATAAGATTATGATGTTATATTCTGTCTAATCATATGGTTGTATATGAATGTAAATTATGGCGTAGAATATATATTTTTAATATATAGTGAACTATCATAATACATAGTGAAAGCAAGAATGCGTTACTTTCACTTAGATAAATTTACTGTTCAAAACCGTTTATTCACACGATACGATATTCTTTTTGACTGCTCTCTGCAAAGACTTCAAAACGAGAGAAATCTAAATTTGACCTAAAAGGTCATGTAATTAATTAATACTCGGCAAACAGAGTGTATTTTGCCTTACAACTGAACTGATAAAATCAAACGTGGTAGACTAAATGCCGCTAAGTGATATCATGATATCTAATACGTTTTTAAATCAAACTGTTAACCTCTCAAGCCAAGAAAATAAATACTTTAAAGACTTTAAAAAAATAATTAAATGATGCCTATAAAATAATCAAAGTCGCCTTTTTGTTATTGATAAACAAAGTTTCTTCTTGTTCTAATTTGAAATCTTTGCCCAAACAAGACTGTCTAACGCTAGAATTCAGCTTCGTAAGCATACTACTCGAAGCTCCATGCGATCCGCACATGCGCGTACTTCGAATGCCTAGACTGATGCATTCCGATGAGATTACAGATACCACATTTGTAAACCAATAGTTTTCTGGTGGTCCAAACGCGACAAAATAGACAGACAGACAGACAGATTGATCGGCTAAAAGGTAAAACTCAAGTCGACCTAGCCCTCGGCTAGTCCGACTAAAAATTCAGTCATGCACGTTTTAATACAATATATTCAAACTTCGTTGCATTCTTTTGCAATCCCACGTGACTTATTTTGTATCACGAAGATTTTGTTTGTTGCTATCAGCTTTTCTCTTGAACACATTTTTGTGTAATTTGTAGTCTGCAATGCCCCACTTGGTTTAGAATCAGGAAGCATTCCAAACAGCAGCATCTCTGCTTCTTCATACTTGGGACATTGTTGTAATCCATGGCAAGCACGACTAAGGAATTCCCCATCCGGTAGGGGATCGATCGGCAGCTGGGTAGCCAAAAACACAGTGGCCGGTGAATACCTGCAGGTGGATCTTGGTAACATTTACCGAGTTACAAAGGTAGCGACTCAAGGGAGTGTAGTAGTTTGGTTTCCACAATGGATTACCTCGTATAGTCTCTCTTATGCTTWTAATAACGGGACTTTCACTGACTACAAGGTTGGCGGGTCACTCAAGGTCAGTAAAACCGGGTTTCCAGTTGATATTATGAACTGTATAATATTTATCAGGATGGGGGGTTGAGAATCGAGAGAGTGAAGCAAAATCTAATTTTATGTGCTTAAAGAGGTGGGTCGACGTCTAAAATCAATTAGAACTTTAACTGGAAATTCCTCTTCTACAGGTCTTCCCTGGGAACACTGACCGTGACASTATTGTGACAAACGTTCTTCCAGGGTCAGTCAGGTGTCGCTATATTCGAATTGTTGCTGTTACCTACTCCGATTTTCCTGCCATGAGAGCCGAAATCTACGGTTGCCCTGAGAACTGACACTACGACGTACAGATATATACATCCATTGCAAAAAATGTGTCAAGGTCAAGGAAAATGGCCAATGAATATGGCCAGTAGTTTAAATCAGCTAGTATGCACCGCACTAAATCAGGGAAATAAATAACACTATTCATAATTACTCCAAAATAGTGCATGGATAATTAAGGAAATAGAAAAAAATCATAAAACAGTAGCGACCATGTAGGGTGTAGCAATAAAACAAATTATTGGAAATGAATGAAGCCATAAAATGGCAATGAGTGGTTAATTCATATTTGAAGATGGAAAGTTTGTCTTGAAAAATACCGACTAACTTGTCATGAATTTATGACAAAAGTTTGTTATTCGGACCAGATAAGCCCTCCCTTTGTATGTTAAACTGACGAGAGTCGGAATTCAAGGGAAAACTACTTCAGATGCAGAGACCCTCCCTGCGGCTTTAAAAATCAAGAGAGCATGGCAGCTATTTAATTTTTTGGAGTTTTCATGATTTTTGCTGGGGACCAAGGGAGTAGGAGTTTATTTTTGGGATCAAGGGAGAGAAGGAGATGATCAAGTCAACAATCAATTATAAACACCTGGTGACCGGATTTTTACGGTATTTTACTATACTAATAATATACACATTGGAGTTCCTGTGGTAAAATCTTGGTAACTTTAGGGCCCGGTGCCCATCTTAGAATGCATGATGGGAAGTGTGTAAAAATCTACGATGGCTTCCGATGGAAATGGGGCATATTTTATATGGATTACAGCAGAAATTGTTGAACTTTCTAGAAAACAAGTACCTCTGCATGTCCTTTCCAAAATTCAAAAGGAGTGGCAATTTTTAATTTCAAGAAGATAATAGATAATGTATGGTTTGGGAGAGATTGCTCCAAAGTTCCCATTCTTTGTAATTTTTTTTCGACTTTTACACGTTTGTAATTATAGGTCGAAATACGCTCAGCCTCAGTGAAAATACTATTTTAATCATGTTTTTTTCTTATCCTGGGTTCTGTTCTCTTATTGCTGGGAGATTATGCGCGGGCACCAGTCCCTTTTTGGAAATGTCAATACCATGTGTATAAGTAAAGTAATATGGACATAAGAAAGTAAGCAAAGCATGGGGAGCAAGGATGGCCGAGCGGTTAAAACGCCTATCTATTACCGCTGTGGTCCTGGTTCGATTCTCGGTCCGGGACTATATGTGATTTGAGTTTGTAAGCTAGTTCTCTTCCTTGCTTCAAGGGTTTTTCTCCAGGTCCGCTGGTTTTCCCCCCTCCGTCAAAAACTAGCTGTGAGGAGTGTTGTGTGGTAAAATAATGAATGTTGAGGTAATGAGTGTGAGTGAATATATAGAGGGCCACAAGTTTACTAGTCTAGAGACTATAACGTGCTACCCTCTCAGAATAAAAGACTTTATTTATTTATTTCAGCATTCCGTGGTAGTAGCTGTATATATTACATAACACCATCCTGTAAATCGTCTACTTAGATATAGACATCCAGTTAGACAACTTTAGATACAGGAAAAACCGGTCTAGTTCGTTTAAATTCAGCAATGTCTGTGATATAGTCTTTTTTGTCAACGGGAACGGGCCTAAGCGTCCAGCGGTCTTGTGCATTGTCAAYCGTACCGTTTGGAATCGAGGCTGTGGTGTCTCCATTACCGACAACCTACAGCAAAAGAGATGTGAAAACACTTAAAATGAAATCAGAGTTTTTKCGGTTTATGTGAATGGAAAAGACAATAAATTCTAGTTTTCAAGAGAATAAAAATCTTTCATTAGCTTCTTTTTTTAACGTCTTTTGCTCAACTGAATGAAAATGAGCAACAGGGGACACTGAAATCTAAATGAAAATTAATTGTCAACTAACATGTTAATACTAGCAGTACTTGTCCAATGCTCATAAATGTATGCATAGCATTGTATTCTATTCTTTGCGTGGTTTTTCTTGTATTCTATTGATATGTGGATATAATACAATGGTATGCGTAAATTTGCAGAGTATTGCACAACTCTCGTGCATCGAGTTATTATTTACATCATCACCATGGTTACCTGGACGCTCAATTTCTTGTAGCTTCTTCCTTTTTTGATGTGATGTTTGAAGCATTTTAAAACATCCTTTTTTGTCAGTTTTTTKAGGGCGTTGACCTGGAAAAGTAACAGTGAGTGAGCTCGACTCTGCCTCGTGATAACACTTTAACATGTTAAAATCATCAACGACTTGATGTGGAAAACAAAAGTTCGCCGGCGGAATGAATTGTTTAGCACATTTTTTTTTCAGGACATTGACTGACAGAGAACATTGTGCGTGAGTTAATTGTTACCTCTTTTTCTTTCCTGTCGAATAAATAAGTCTGGTCGAGAATCTCGAACCAATTCCTGTTGGCTTCCTCGGCCAGGCTGAGGTCTTCGTGTTGTTTGATTTCAATTAATGAATCCACCTAAATATCGTTCACATAACAGCATCATTTATCGTCATCATCATCATCATCATCATCATCACCACTATCATTATTATAATTGTCGTCATCGTCATCATCACTATCATCATCATCATTACCTGGCTCTTGAAATCGTCTGGCTTAGTTGTCTCAAGAATTTCTTGAAATTCCTCCAAAAAAGCATCAATTCTGTTTTGAACGTGCTCCACACTATCGAACAAACGATATCATGAATAAAGGTATATCGCTAGTCTCGCTGACTAATCCGGCAAACTTCCACGAAAACTCTATGATATTATTTTGGGAATCACTTAATTTGAATTAAGGTAACGCATCAATTAAAAACGTTGCGATGTCTTTAAAGTAATCCGCTTCTTTTCTGGCAGTGACGGCGCAAATACTTGCATTCTCATTATGAAAACAAAAAACTGGGATTTGGGATTGTTCTTATGGACATTAGAATCTATGAGCAAATCTCCCATCATGCTATGTAATGTGCATTCAAAAGATAGAATGAACAATAGATACAGAGTCCGTGCAGAGTATCAAAAACGAAATTTAAGGACTTTTCAAGGACCAAAATTGTATTTTCAATGAACAACATAATCATGCTAATTCTACATTCTTACGTCACAACTTCAACCTAACGGAATAATTCCGAGATTGCTAGCGCTTCGTGATAGAGATCTATCTTTTTCAAGGAGTTTTCAAGGACTTCTTCGAAATTTTCAAATTTTCAAGGAGTTTCAAGTGCCCTTGAAAACGAGTTTTCAATTCAAGCACTTTTCAAGGATTTAAGGACCTGCATGGATCCTAAGATACCAATGAAAAATCCTTTGTTTAAGTTCCTCCAAGATGACCGCCGTGACGTAACTTGAAAACGAATAATTCAGTTACCTGAACTTGTCGGCCTGAGTTTGGACAGTAACAGAGAAGCCAACAATACCAAAAGTATTTCGACAAGTACAACTTACAGAATACCTAAAGTACACAAGGAAAAAAAATAGCAATCTTTGCATGTGAGGAATGTCAATTATTATTTTATTAGCACCCATGCACATGATTGAAATATATACAGATTGGCTAAATAAAGATGATCGAAACTTAGCCCCAAAGTTAAAAAAAATCGAATGAGCCTTAAAACTTTCAGGTCGCGATAGAAGCGTTTCCTGTAACACACTTACTCACAAGGAAACCCCCACGTGTTCTCATGGAGGTCAACACAAAGAACGCATATGAAGACGTCTATTATAGAACCTACAATCGTTGCCAAAATACCTTGGACCGTACAATTGTTTGTCTCCAGCCTAACATTTTTCTCCTTTATTTTTTCACAGTTTTCCCCCTTAGCCCCCTTTCATCAATGTTGGGTCTTGTTTTGGATGCTTGTGTACTATGGTAACATGATCAATGACAACATTGCATTTATGGGGTCAGGGGGGATGAAATTGTCTGTTGGTGCATGTTTCTTAAAATAAAGAAATTTGCTGGAATGGTTCAAAGATTTTGTAAACAATTTCTCTTCCATCCAATACGTTTTTTCCCTKTTATTCCTGAGTACGTACCCAAGCTGTTCTCTTGTCCGCAAAATATCAAAACAAGGTTCCTCCATCTGTGACTAGTAAGATAGGAAAAAAATAAGTAAAGAAATACTAGGATCAGGAATAGTAAATAGTTATATAGATCTATAGGTATAAAAGCACTGTAAGTTATCAATAGTCTCGTCCAAATCCTAGAACTAAACATCTCTTTATTTTTTCTATATCTGAATTATTAATTAACATTATCAATGCAGGGAAACGAAAATCACTGCTATGAAGTGAAGGATTGTTTTATAACAGTGAAATTGACGATTTCCTAGAGTAACTAACTAACTAACTAGAGTAGGGTACGTTTTACAAAACATTACAAGTGCGCGAATGAATACGAGGTATTTGCGGGCAAAACCTTTAGAAGGCGTCCAGTTAGTAACACTGCCTGAGAATCCATAGTTCTTTTGCGCGCGTCTGTGCTTTCTCTGAAAGATCCAGAGCATCTAAAAATTCCTAAACGTTTGCTATGTATTTCTCTATCCACGAATTTAAAATGCTCCTTCCCGAGCTCATCAAAACAACTCAAAACCCCCCAAAGATAAAATCACATGTAACTTCTTACCACTAGCAGTTCCATTGCAGAGAATTCTTGCACAGAAGCTGGWCCAGACTGGAATAACAAACAGACGGATGAATGGGTAAAGGATTGCTAAATAAGTGAATTAATAGGAAAATAAACGAATGGATGGGAATAAAAGAATAATTGAATAGAAGAAAAATTCGATTGAGGTCTCAGGAGAATGTTTTAAGCTGTGATCTGTCAATCACACAAATGGTCTATTCCAGATATTTTTGAACGAATTGCCTTGGTAGGGGTGCTTTCCATTTAGGCAGAACTGGCCGGCCAGTCCACTCTATTTAGAGGTATATAATGCTTTTTGTAAACATTTGTCAGTAATTTCGAGGTTTTCTGTAGAATAATGGATAGAATTTGAAAATTTGAATTTCCTAACTAAATGGGAATGATATATAATGACATTTTCTCTGGGTCTGGCCAGCCAGTTCTGACAAATGGAAAGCGCCCAGGACGCTACAAATATACGGTTTTTACAGTATAAGTGATGTTTCTTGTGGAAGGATGGAAAGTGCGCAAGCAAAACYGACAATTTCATTAGTTTCAAATACGTTGTATAACGTCTGAAACGTCAGTAAATTGTTTCACCTACCTTTTTATAGTGTTAAAATTTATCTTTTTACACAACTGTTTTCATAGACGTGTCAACTTTTCTTCAGTCGGGTCTTCAGCAGCAGACTCTTCGCTATCACTTAGTTCAAAGCGAGTAGAAGACAACTCACTTTTACTCTCATTCGCCATGTTTCTTTTATATATTATTTTGGTTTCCCGCTGATTTTCCCGCGCGCGCGTTATAACACCTTTCATTGGTCAAAAGAATTTAAAATAGACATGTCTATGAAAACGCTGTGACCAGAGTCACACATCATGAACGCTGCTAGCAATGGTTCGTGTGTATACTGATTTCTACCAATAGTTTATGGCTGATTAATTATACCTGATAGTAATCGGTTACCACAGAATTAGAATCGTCTTTGTTGAAGCATGGGACACGACACACTGTCTCTGTACATGGAAGCTCTAGAATTCGTACCTGAAGAGTAAAAAGATAAAATATCAATATTTGTAAAAATAAGAAATTGCAGATAGTAAATGTTTTGATGATGATGATGATGATGATCATGATGATGATGCTGATGCTGATGGTGCTGTTATTTTGCATTTACCTCTGGATGAAAACATGGTAGCAACGGAGAAGGATCCACCATTCTGCAAGAACAGCAAGCAATTGTCAGTCATAGGACATCCCTATAACCTGCATTCAGTACGGCCATGACAGTTTAGATTTTTTGAAATATAGAAAAGCGAGGTGACTTGTCAATAATCCATCCGTCCGATTTAAGTGGGAAACTAAATGTATTTATCATGGATTAAGTAACTAGCACATAGAGTGCGCTTGTATGGTTATGGTTATGGTTCATTAGCGGGACGCTATTATATAAGGTAATGAGAGGATAGAATATTCATTCGCGTCCAACGATCTTCGTTGTCGTGTGCCTTGATAAAAAATTAAACACCCCATAAAGCGTAGTCAGTTTCGATAGGGATTTTATTCACATACACGCTAACTAGAGTGAAAAGCCAACTAAAGAAGAATGAGATTCGGACTTCTAGTCTGTAAAAACTTATAGCATAATTAAAGAGGTTTCGAGTTCGACATCATTTTTCTTGCTAGATCACAAGCACGTGGCACATGTTGAAGCACTGCACTATCTGCACACTATTAAACTAATAAGATGTTTCTTTTTGCACCACCACTTAAGCACTTTATATATATAAACTGCTCATTTGTAAATTCGTTAACGAAGTTTAACAAAGGCACGCACGTCTATCGTGTGGACACACTCCTATAAGTCTGTGTATTTATTACATGATAAATGTTTTATATTCGGTTGAGCGGGGGAGCGAATTAGAATATAACAGTATATCTCCATTCAGAGAGCATGGGGAGGGATAACAAAGAACAATCAACTATTGTTTGTATTACGATTTGATTTTAACAAAATCTCGTAAGGAATGCTTGGCACCCAATCAATCAAACAAACAAGAATAATTTAAAGATTGCGAATTACATCGGCTCTCGCGGTGGTTATTTGGCTCGTTTCAAAGGACTTGGGGCACGGGGCTGCTAGAGTCGACTTTAAAGTTTGTACTTACTTGTATAGGTGGTCTTGCAGGGAAACGGCTTCGGCAGCAGTCACGTTACCCTGAATTAAGCTCACGAAATATAGCTGGGCTTTAAAAGATATTGCGAAATTCTGTAAAACAAACGCAGAAAAACCTTAGTTATCAGTTGAATGAAGTGCATACGGCTATCTGAAAACAGTGATGCTTCATAGTATACTTTACCACTGAAACGTAATGACGTAAGAAAGGATTTCGTATAACTGTGCAATGGCACGGATCACAGCACGGTACACTCACGGAAACCTCGTCTTCTAGTTATTACAAATATATATAAAGATTCGACAATAAATCACCACTACGGTACGGCACGGCAAAGTGCGTTTTTTGTCATACGAAATCCGCCCTACACTGCACGGTGTCTGCGTTACTCAGATTCAAACTAAACGGTTTTCTCTATTAAGTTCTTGACTTCACGGAGCCAGTATATTCATCCTAGACTCACAAAATCTCCTCTTGAACGCCGACAGGGCGACGAACATTCAATGCATTAGTTATTGGAATCAGTATTCAGTGGCCGACGTGTTCTGAAATAGCTGTACATGAAGTATGAAGTATATATCTACAACGTCTTCTTTACCTTCAGATCATCGAGTGTAATGCTGTCAATAGCTCCCTCTTTCTCAACAATGGACCATTTAACTAGCTGAAGAATGGACAACCTTACAGACCTGAATCACACAATTGAAGTCGTTTAGAAGACAGAGATTACCGTAAGTTGTGGGTAGCATTTCTACTGCTGCCATTTGTGATTTCTCACCATCGAGGAGTTACATGAAAACATTTTCTGTATAGGAATAAGTAGTGAAGAGGCAAAGGAAAGTTAACGAAAGAATAATCGATAAGCTTCCGAGGATTTACCGAGCAGTCACCGAGAATCTATCGAGCATAATAGCTATTAGTCATCCTGGGATCCATGATTATTTATGNGTTTATAGTGAAATGTGTTTTTACCTCTTGGTGTATAATGAGTGGTGGTTTATAGTGAAATGTATTTTTACCTCTTGGTGTATTAAATTTGTGATCTTTTTTATACCACAATTTACCAAGTTCACTTTCTAAAATAACTTGAGGATGCTGTAAACAATGTATCAATAGAAAAATATCAATATACATTGTAATTTTAGTTATACAAAGAACGGTGAACTATAAGAATTAAAACGAACTACATTTGTTGTATGCTGTGATAGTTGCCCGCTTCACCTGAATGTTTCGAACCAATTTAAAAAAAATAGTCGCCCGAGAACGTAGTGGGTGCCGGGCTTTTGCAGTTTTGAGGAAAATCCAATTTTCACGAGTAACTGTCACAGAATAATGACCGAAAATTTAACAGCAAACTTTTCTGGAGCGGGCAAAAATCGCGCGGGCTCAATGCACTGACAGTACTTTTCGACGGACACTATCGCCTCAMGTGGTCCACTCTCGACCAATGAGAGCAGAGGAAATTTTGCTGTTGAATTATAATTCGAGAAGGTGGATCATTATTAGTAAGATGACGAGTCGTTTATTTGATGGTTCAGCTTTTGGCTCTCTTCAAACAATGAATTAAACTTGACCAACATCGATCTATTAAAATCTTAAACAATCATTTCACTACATTCCACTACAGAAATTTGGGGAAAAAAGTTACTTCACTCCACTTACCTCTGGYGAGGCTATATCTTTGTCTTTAATTTCAAAATCAGTGGCTAAGAGATTAAAATAACATCGCTCAATAATAAACTCCTGAAAGCGTGAAATAATTCTGTACATATCGAACAGGCCACTGCCAGCAGCGCCTTACAAAATAGAGTAAGTACAAATACTAAAACTGTGCAACATAAATACCACTAAATACTACTAAATTATGCTAATTCTATTGTTTTTCTATATTTGTTTAATTAGCACTATTTTGTAGTAAATAGTGCAAAGTGTTGCACGCTTTTAGTGTTTGTACTCTACCTTGTCTCAAAGATTAGCTAATTCAGTCTCTTTCTTTTCTTTTTTTATCGAATTCAACTCACCTATAAATGTGTTTTCTGCTGGTAAGTAAAGATCAGGATTTAATTCTATATCTAAACATAAAAAAAGAGAGAACTTTTCAAGATGGCGGACGCTTTGTTCTTCGAAAGTACTGATGCATGTATACAGATCTGGTGCATTCACACTTGTGTAAATTCTCGCGCGCTGATTGGCTGATTAGAGTGCACACTGTTCTGACACCATCACGTCTCGCGCGCACGCTCAATGGAGAGAAAGGAATGATTTTCGCTAATATTTAAACTAAAAATGTGATAAAAAATGTCGCTGCGCTCGTGGGTTCACTTGAGTTTTGAACATTTTATGACGTCAAGAGTGTGTCAATAAGAGGACATACAACTCAAAACTGTGCGCAATTTGTTAATTCTTGGGTGCATTAGCCATGAATACAGTAATACTGACTGTTTAATATCATAAACTACTACTACTACTACTTACTCTTCCAAGATTCAAGCCAACCTGAATCAAT